TTGAAGGTTGCATCACATCGTTTGTTTGCGGCATCTTGTCGTCCCGACGACATTGCGAATCGTGCTGACTGCTGATACCAACTTATATAGGGGAGCGTATGAGTGGGACGGATAAATGAGGTACTCTCTCGATAAAACTCACACAACTCAATAATATCTCATTTCATTCAAAATCAACTGAATAAACCAATAGATGATGAGCCCTTTAAATAAGACTCATAAACTCTATTCATAACTTGTCCAACATGACAAGATCTCTTATAACAATATTTAATTCTTAACTTATTCTCGAAGATACCTAATAATAATAATAATAATAATAATAATAATAATAATAATAATAATAATAATAATAATAATAATAATAATAATAATAATAATAATAATAATAATAATTCTGCATCAGCTACATTCTAGTCCGATCAGATTTGGTATTCGTGACCTTTCAAATTTTTGCACGTACTGATATCTTCTCTGATTCGTACTTTGATTTCATCTGCTTTGTAATATTATGTTGATCTGTTTTTTTTTTTAGGGATCATCTGGATGTGCATTCTCCTACTAGTGTTATCTTATGAGGAGATAGCTATAGTCTTTCGACACATTCTATAAAAAGGTTTTTAATTAGGAGAAAATTGTGGCGAATTGTGACTAGTGATATATTGTCACGTGTGCATCCGTCTCGTACTTGGGATACCAACCCCTGCCTACAGGCTCTTACGACATATGTTGATAAGTTTGAGGATTGGAATAGTAAGAATTATCATATTGTTACTTGACTATGTAATACTTCAATCTCTGCTATTCAGGTGCAAACTTGCTCCGTTTGGTGGTGCAAAAAAGCTTGGGAGTTTTTGGCTGCTCAGTTTCAGACTACAAGCTTGGACCATTATTATCAGTTTTGAAGCACCTTGTATTCTTGATCGACTCGAAACGAGTTGAACTCGTCGATCTAAAACCCAAGGACCTCCAGCTCGTTGAGTTGGACCATCAGTGCAAAGACATGATCCTTTATAAGAGTGTCATCCACTATGGTTGTGTTCATCAGAACCCTCAAGGCCTCCTACTTGGCAGTCCGTGACTGGTGGCCAAATAGTTTCTTGAGATTGAGAAGCATGTCATAAGTGAAACCCCCAGTCAGATTATGAGGTTGTAGCACATTTGACATAGAAACTAAAATGAAGCACTGCACTATCTCACCAGACTTTTTTTACTTTGCAATTTTCTCCTTCTCAGCATCTGTAGCCTCCTCATCTGGCTGATCAGGACAAAACTCAGAGAGTACAAACTTTACCCCCCTTAACAGTCAACATTGTATCCAAGTTTCTCTTTCAATCAGTATAATTATGACCAATAAGTTGATTTCCTTTGAGAAACAGACAAAGGGTTAAAGAGATGTTGAATTATCTTGAGAATCACGAAAAATTTTACTAATTAAATATTTTTAATTTAATCATTAACATTGGTCTCCTCAATAAAATACTAATTTAAATTCACCGACATCTCAAAATATCGAGAATAGCGCATGCCATGTTAGGGTGGCCTTGGGAGAAATAATCAATGACTCCGTTAGGAGAGGATGATTTTTATCATATTTTAAGTGTGACCCCTTATATGATCTTGAGGTCATCATGCAAAGATTGTATGTCCCCGGTTTGGCGAGGCCCACACTTCAAATAAATTGCATCACCAACAAACCAGTAATAGAGCCTGGAGAATTTTTAAGATTAGCTTAATTTTAAAATTTCTTGCTCTCACTTAGTAGTGAAATGAGGATTTTTAAATTACCATGAAATTCTATAATTAATCCACATGCCATAAATTAATTAATTAATCATGCATATTTGTCAATCAATAAAAACAAGGAAATAAAATACTATTATGGTCATTAATTAGAACTCTAGCTAAATTAGGAAATAAATCAATCCACATCTTATTGGAACTGAATATTCCTCATCAACCAAGAATTTATATTCCAACACAATTCTTGTCCAAATCAACTAGGTTGCCGGAAAATCACAGGCCGCTCCCTGTCTACTGGCTTCGTACTGCCTTTTGTGGTATCGTTGGACTGAATTTCTACCTTTGAGTCCAACTGGGCACTTTTGAGTCTAGTAGGCATCGTCGTGTCCGTCTCTGGTAACTATAAGGTTGTCAAAGTCTGGAGCTATAGTCGTGTCATCGTTGGGATGTCTGTTGCTTGCCGCCAACCGTATTGCGGTGCGCGTAGACCTGGTCGCGTCATGAGGGCTTCTTGGGCATGCTGTCGGGGTGTGGCACACAGTCCTAACGAGTTTTTCGTGCTAAGAAGGCACAAGGTCGCGAGGTAGCACGTGCGTACCAGCACTGTACGAAACTCGTGCTGCCAGTGGCGCTCGCACATCACTGTCCTATGTACTCTCCCACTACGCCTGCACGCGACTGGGGCTAGTCGCTGTGCGCGCTTGCCGATTCTTGGGTACAATGTGCCTGTGTTCTTCGTGTGCTGGCGTGTGGGGGCTTCTGCGACAAAGTCGCACACCAAGCTCAGCCCATCATCCACGGTGCTCACCCCTGGTCGCTGAGGGCCTCTTGCCTAGCCCGCCTACCCGCATCGCCGCCCCCGCAACACTGTAACACCCAATTACTTATCTTTAAAGTAGAAATTTTCAAAAATAAATTAAACCTTAAAAAATACTTTCCAAAAACATTTTCCTCGGGAACTACTAAAAAATCTATTTCCTTTCAAACATTGGAGACATAATGAAAACATCCAAAATATTCAAAGTCTTATTCATAAAAGACATAGTTTCAAAACAAAAAAATACTCAAAAGTAACAATGATTTTGAACCTAGTTTGCGGAAATGAAAACAACTAAGTAATGACCACGCCCGTCCTCCCGTGTCCACCGTCAGCTGCTTAATTTTAAAAACAATAGGTGAGCAAATCGTTATGTTCAATGGTAAAAGCATACTATTCAACGATTCAGTGTAAGCACAGATAGCATAATAATCATATGAACATGAACATCATCGTCACACAGACAATCACCGACTTCAAGCCCCCAGGTAAACTCGAATTAGTGACTCTTATTTCAAGCCTCCATTATCTACTCGGCTTTTGACTATTATACATCGTTAACCTAAGTTCATGAATTGTTGGTCTCGTAACTGGTTACTACTAGTGCCATCGACATCAACCGGTCATGCTAGTAAATAAATCTGGCATCAACCGCTTTTACTAGTATCATCGGCATCAACCGGTACAACTAGTAGCAAAATGCACACAGCTAACATATTCGGCCCACTGGCCCACATTTACACACATATCAAAATTATACTACCGCATGTTTATCCAAAATAAACCATAGTATAAAATCCCCACTTGATAACCGAAGATGGTGATGAAAATTTAGATGGAGCAAAGCTGGTGTCAGACAGAACAACTCGTGGACTCGATTCCTCAAAATCTACATTTTTTTAGCACAAAGTTTTTATAAACAACTTATATTTTCTGAGTAATTCGAATTACCGACTTAAAGAATTTAATTAGCATAAGGTTATTGCCTTTGTGAAATTTTATTAACTTTGGAACTCTCGGCTAAAGGTATTTTAAAGCTCAGAAAAAGGGGTTTCGTATATAAAATCAAGGTTCGGCTCGAAAACAAGTTCAAGGCTCGAAAATAAGTTCAATTGCTCAAAACGTGAGGTATGCCTATTATCACATTACATTCTCTATTATTCCAAAAAATATTTTCTGCACTTCATCTTCTACAAGTGCTCATTTAAGCATCGAAGGCTCTTCACTAAAAAAACCACTCCGGTGTGAGAGTTTTTACAAGTCCACAGGCGACCTACCAGCAAAGAAGCTTGAGCTCAGACTAACTCCAGCCGGTTCAAGGTCTTTTGTGTACCATTTAGCGTCGTCTGTAGCACTGTCATTTGAAAAGTTGTGTTCAACATAGTCATGGCTGACATTTGTAACCTAGGTGATGAAGTCCGTTTAAAAGGTGTAAAAAAAATTAATTATCAGTTGAAATCATATTAATTTTATAGTATAATTGTCAAATTATCAATCAATATATGCATATACATACAAAACCACAAGTTACCCAAAATGTATTTTATAATTTCAATAGTAAAAAATCCAATCAAAACTCAAATTTAATCAAACTTTAACCGAACCTCACTATTCTCAATATTATTAATATAATTAAATAATATCAACCAATCATTCTTACACATCACATCAACTTTAATTCACTATTCATCCATTCACATAATTCTAACTAACTATCACTTCCAATCATTTTTCTCACACTTTACATCAAATTAACTTTAATTATTTTATTTAAATATTATTTTAATATATCCACTAACAACTAATCATATCATTTTTTTTTTCAAAATTAACTACAATTAAAAAACAAACTAAATAAAAACTAGTTCAATCCATAAACAATCAACTCATGAGGATACAATACATTATATATTGGATCAATCACAAAATTATTTTTAATTTTAGTGGTGAGTTTTTTTGACTTGTAGAAAAAAAAGTATTATTAACCTTATTTATTCCTTTTCCCCACCTTTCTTTCCTTTAATTTTTATGAATATATTTTATTATTTCTCTCTCTTGCAAGTTGCATGATTTGTTCACGCGTCTCGGTGAAGGTCGGTTTGAAGCCTCATCTTTTTTCCTCTCTTCACCTTCTTTAGTTTCTATAAATATCCACTTACCCTATTTCTCCCTTCACAAATCCATCTTCACAAATTTTATTTATTTATTTAATTAATAATTAGCTGTGTCTCCCTCCCAATTGAGGAAGAGGAGTTTTTGTAAGAAAAAAAAAAAAATATATATATATATAAATTTACTTACAAAAACAAATAAAAGAAAAAAAAAATCTTTCTCCTGTTTTGTTTTTTGTTTTTTGTTTTTCATCTGCAAAAGAAATTTTGGGGAGAACAATTTTTTGCCAAATATTTTCTGGGGTTTCGATTTTTTCTCCGAGTGAAACATGGGAACAGAAGTTTTACCGCCACAAGATCTTCTCGCCGGCAGATTACGGGAGCCACCGGCGTCTTTCTACCGGCGGAGGAATTTTCCGGGAAGCGGGAACCTGACCCACCTAATCGTCAATCGGAAGCATAGTTACCACACGGCCCACAAAAAGACGTCGCCCCGGCCGGACAAGAAGAGATCCACCTCCGCGTCGGAGAACAAAAAGGTGGAGGGACGGCGGAAGGACGACG